AATTTTTTTATAACAATTAATAGCATATTTTAAAATTAATATTTTTTTCAAAACTTGACAAAATAGAAATAATCAATTAATATTTTTGATTAATTTTACATATGAAGTTTTTGGGAAAAAAATTAATTGAAATTTAAAAGACGTACCCACGTACCCGTGTCCGAAATTTGGACTCTTTTTAACCATGTCCCCGTATCCTCCATTTTAAGAAATAAAAGATCTGACACTTAAATACGTATTCGTACCCGATACCCATACCCAAGTCCGAGCAACATAGTCCATGCCATTTTTAAATCATTGACTATTTTCAATGTTGAGATTTAAAATCATAAAAACCTACCAATTCAATTCGTAATTAGAATCACGAGATAAGACAAATTTAGATTGGTCGGAACAAGTATAAAAATATCGGCGAGAATAACTAGAAAAGTAAAAAAAAGACATAATTGGATTATTACGAAGAATTCCAATTTTTTGTAGAAATAGTCGATCATTAGGCCACTGTTTGATAACTATTAAAATGAATTCTTTTTTTTAAAAAAAAAAACTCATTTTCAATCACACATTCTCATAATAAAATGTTCTGCACTTAAACTAAAAACTTTTTTCTTACTTTCTACCATATATTCGCTAAAAAATCCCTACTTCAAAATTCATTATAATGGTTGTCAATAGGGACGAAATCCGTTAATAAAAAGAAAATTATCAAATTTTAAATTGAAGTCCAAAGTAGTCAGCAAATATAATCCCAAAATTTGCCACCCCGAAAATTGAAATAAAATATAGCGTATGTTGAGTAGAGATTATCAAATTTTTAGTAAATTTGATAAAAACTGATGAAATATGTGGATCATATAAAATATATAGTTAAATTAAATATTGACTTTGACATAAATTAAAGTTAAAATTTTAATCTCTATCAATTAGGAAATAATATGAGAAATAACATCAGCTTAAGCTGGGAAGTCCGAGGCAGCGGCTAACTGGGCTAAGCCGAATTTATAACTGGAGTACAGCCTGTCAAAAGACCATAACATGGGTCAGCAGTATACTTCCAGGAGTTGGTGTATTTTCATGACGCCAGTCTAACGTGGAAAACGGGTCACTTTCTATGGGGCTCATATTTGTCGTGGGCTATGGCCCACCATTTAAAGGAAGTATCAAATTTTTAATGGATCACCAATTTAAAACTAGCATTTACTTTTAGAAATTTAGAGAATTTTATGCTATAAAAATATAATTAACGTATAGATTTATGTATTTATATTTTTCTTGAATTGATTATTATTATTCATATAAAATTTTAAATAAAATTATTTTACCTTGTAATTTATTATTTATTTTGGTTATTAAGCTACTTTTTCAATATGTCAAATGCAGCCTTAAACAAACTCTGCATCTGACTATAAGAAAAATTCGAGCAATCAAAACATTAAAAAATATTATATATTCGATCACGTCTTAATCTAGAAAATTGCCAAAACATTATGGTCATTGGATTCGAATCCGATTCATTATTGAAATATTTTAGTCGTTTTCAAAAATTGAATAAATTTACAATGTGAAATTGAAATGAAAGATTACATTTGAATTTATTTATCACGCCATTACCCCAATCTATTAGAAAATATGTAATTAAGCCTTAATTTACAGCTTTATATAAAAATATTATTGAAGTCATAATACGAGAACTATAGTCTATACCTAAGATAAAATAATTATGAGTTGTCCCCTGGAAAATGGTCAAATAATTTTTTTTAATTCATAGGAAAAAGAAGAAAAGGAAAGAATAGATTGACACGAACTTCACATGTGGATGATTAAAGAGAGAGAGAGCACTAGCGCTATGCCCGCGTGGGTGGGTCCCTTGGGATTCTTCTAAAGAAAGGGACTAGATATATGTTCTTTTCCATGAGATTTAATAATAAATTAATATAATATATTAATTAAAAAAATAATATTTCATATTTGTGGTAGGTGGTTCTTTATTTAGAGATAGAAATCGAATCCTCACATTACGACTGTCAGTGCAGCTGAAACTACCTCACTTATATCATTTGCACAACTGAACGATGCCCCGATTGGCGAATTTATTGATTAGATTTTAAGTAAACATAGGTGTGCAAACAATTGAAATAAGAATTATTCTACGTATACAGAAAAATCTGTACATGCAATACAAGAAAATCTATCATGCAATATGATAGATACATGCCACGCATGATCATTATCTTCGCTATTCAACGACAAAATTAGAGGCAAACAACGCTACAAAATTTCTCTACGATCATTTTTAAACCACACTTTTTAACTTTTAACCTCGATCTAGTAAAGATACTGGTGCAGATTTGTTTCTTTTACCAAGAAATCGATCTTTTATAAACATCATTATCTTCTCCATTACAATACCTGGATTCGACTTTCCCAAGACTGTTGTACAGTAGAGCTTCCTCAAGTTCCATCATTCTCAATGGCTCTGTCTCCTTCGTTTTCCTCAAGTTCTATCATTCTCAATGGCTTTGTCTCCTGCGTTTTCGTCAAGTTCCATCATTCTCAATGGCTTTGTCTCCTTCGTTTGAGATAACATCACGCTGAAAAGTTTTGTCCCACTTCAGCACCCACACTTACTCTGGTGCAAATGAAACACAACTTTTCTCATCCACTCACTCTCACTAATACTGACAGACTACTATTCCATTCCTCGCCTAGTTTAAAGAGGTTCCTCGTGAGCCACTTACTTTTTCTAACCCATACCATACCACCCAACTTGATGACATAATTGATAACTACCCCCACTCTAAACACCCATCCAATTCTGTTAAACTTCCAATAACAACATGACACCACTTGATCAGTGGCCAACTTGCAAATTCTAGTGCCACAACTTACACCTCCAAAACCGTGTGACCAACATAAGGCCATAACTTTTAGCCTCCTATAGCACCACGATGCAAGCCCACAAGAGATTTAGCTCACAACTTAAAAAGACTCGATCGAGAAGAAAAATATGGTTGATCCATAAAACGATTGTAAAAGCTGAATACTGTTTAGGAATTGGGGGTACGTTTATCAACTCTTAAACTGTGCCTGGCTGCAAATATCGGGATTGCCATTTCTTAAAACTGAGATCTTACAGTTTGGCATCTATCCAGCCAGTTACTGACTGATTTAGGCATAGCAAGTAATTGGGGGTTGGTCTTTTGCAAAGTTTCTCCACAAATCACCATGGAACAATGTTAAACACCAATTGGAAAGGGTAAAAAAATAAAATAAAAGCAAATATTGCTATTTTCCCATAATTTTTTTTTTTTTAATAACCGTGGATATACAGCTTGCGCGCACCTCGACTAAACCCACGGGACCCTGAAGTTTACGGCCGGATACTCACCTCAAACTGGTAACCATTGAGGAGCAAACTCAAGGTCTGACCAACTGAGCAACCCCCTCAAGGTTAAAATAAAAGCAAGAACGCTATTTTCCCATAATCAATACAAGTGAAAATAAGAAGCCTATACTCACGTATCATTCCATAGCATGTCAATTAGCTAAACCCAAGTAGGAAGCAAAGAAAAAATACCATGTCGGAGAACCTGTAATTCAACTATATGAAAAACTGGAAACCAAATTCAGTAAATTCATACACAGTGATAGAAGTACTCGGGGTACTTGAAAAATCACATTAGCCGACATATCTGCCAGAAATATTGACGTAAATTTGTTATATCATTTTACATGACCAGAAGAAGAGCTTATAATCACCTTTACATCTGCTTCTACTGTCAGGCATATTTACGCAATGTTGGAAATTCTGACAAAGAAAATATCCCAGCATGGAAGGGGGGGTGGGGGGAAGAGAACACTCTAGACCTATAGTTGGCCACAACGTAAAACTTGTTATTAGCCAATTACATTACATCCATAACTTACCTACTCATAACTTCTAGCACCAGTCATAAAACCAAAACACCCAATGTAGGGGAGTCATCTGGGAAGTATTTGAGATGATGTCAGAACAATTGGTTAGCATTAACACCATGTATCTGCAGAGTATAGCATAGCCCATTAGTGTCCATTGATTGACATGTGGTTGCAAGTAAATTCCTGCACCACCTAAATATCTTAAAAGTCATAATAGCTTTCCAAAAGATCCAAGAATTTTTTTTTTTGCCTTCGAAGGGAAATGTTCATCAGCCATATTTCGAGATTGTCACAGAGAAATATTATTGTTCATCATGCGGAAATTGCAGATAATTCAATAAAATGACTCTCCAAACCTCAAAAAACTTTCTAAATAAACAGAACACGGTGCATGCAAGGCTGGTAGAAGATATCAGAAAAGGAACAGTGAAGAACCGAGGCAACCTTCTTGCCTAGTGACATCTCCACATAAAAGTTCTTCATAATCGATGAGTTGAAAGAGAGAAGAAACCACCACTATAAAAACTTTCTCCCCGCTTTGTCTCTTAACAACTGACAAGAAATTTTATCGCACAATACAATAACGTAACCTTTTGCAGATGAGCTCAAAGCAATGTGATCAAAGTAACTAACAGATAAATATAAGACATTCTTTACTACTACTAACCAGTCAATGTTGATCATCTGTCATGATTTCTTGAACAAATGACGGTGTGCCAACATCTCAGGTATCCGCAATGCTGAAGTGCTTTCACACCCAAGAAGCTCTTGTAATTTAGCATCACATATAATGGTCATTGTGTTTAGAGGATCCTAAAAGTAGCAGTACACAATACTTCAAATATTAAACTTGTAAGTTCTTTTCAGTGATTTGATATCAGAAAGAGAGAGCATGCAGGTTTTGGAATAAGATATCTTCATTAAAAAATCAAAAGAAGCAACATCATATAGGAAGAACAAAGATTCAAGTAAGTGGAGAAGGTGATACATTGGTGTGATTATTTGTCAGTACTCACATAAAGAGTCTGTCAACATTAAATAATGTTCTGATACCTACTTCCGACTGTTTTAGCCCAAAATCTTCCTTGCTTGCATTTCCATCTTTGGCCATGTAATCCAATTTTTCTCACAAATTTTCAAGTGCATTTAAGACGAATTAGACCACCATATCTGTTTTAGGTGAGAAAACAGTGTGTACATAAATTTATCTTGCAGCTGAACAGATCGGCAACCTCTGGCTTCTAAGGAAAGCAATCAGTAAATGTTTCTCACCACATGCTTAGTTCCATTCATCTTAAAAACAGCTCCAATTGTATTTTTTCTCCATTTGATTAAAACATAATCAGCAAAAGAAGAAAAAGCCTCAGAGAAAAGAGTATCATAATGTTCCTGCAGTGTATTAACGGATGAAGGGAATGCATATAACATAAAATTGTCTTTGATTTGAAAGAATGAGTTGAAATGACTACAAAAATCGGAACCGTGAATAAAAAAGCCAAAACCATAAACAAATATACATTCAATGATACTAAAACATAGAGCTTATATATTGAAGAGGATAATCATTAAAAACGCACACTGGACAGAAATTATATGCTGATAATACAGATTTTTCTTATAAATCATTTCCAAACCGGGAAAATTGTAGGAGAAAAGATCATGAATGTGACCACAATATGATCCCCTTAACCATGCAAGCAGGAATAGCAGATTGATACATAACTAACCTCTCAAAAGAAGAGAATATGCTTTAAACAATTTACATAGTAACCTGCATTCTTTAACTGAATAGAGCTTCTACACAGAAAAGACATAGTTCAAGTTCCATTCATGTGTTTTATTTATTGCGCGTGAAGAAATTAGAGAAAATCAATTTGGAGAGCATGTTTAAATATTTAGGGAATAAGACAGGAAATTAATTAAAAGTGAAACTGAACAGCACGCTTGTAATCCTTGTTGTGATTACAATGAAAAAACAAAATCTCAGATAAAGTGGAATGATAAATGAAAGCCATTTACTTGTTTACAGACCTCGAGCTGGTGGACCTTTATGTATTCCCAGATCTGCCTTAATACCTCTGCTTGTGACATTTCTCGTTCGTCGCTTCCAAAGAAATTCGCAAGGGCTTCAGATATTATCACAATTGGGACGGGGTCATCATTTTGGCTCCCAGATTCGACATCGACTTTAGGTTTCTTAGAATTTTGAACAGTCTGCTCTGCAAGATTTCAAAATCTACCATGAGCATCAACACCATCATAATGGAAAACGAAAATAGTTTTCTTATAAGAGCCATACTTGTAGGCTCAAGAGGGATTATATGTTTAGCAAGCAATTTATTCATCTTGAACATGTCAGTGCAATCAGTTTCGAAAACCAATCGGAGCTCCTCGTTGCAAATAATCTTCCTTTTGTTATTTGGATCTTGGAGGTTGTTTTTCCTTATGTAAGCCCACAACTGCTTCACGATCTGTAATAGCACCATCTTGGGTTGGAATTTACACATCTTAGCTGGAAAGAAAAATGAAGAAAAGAAAACAGGTCGCCAAACCTCAGTCCTTGGCAGAGTCGGTTGCCCTACGATGGTTTGTAGTTCAGGAGAAACACCACATAGTTTGTTTAGTCCTCCAGGGCCACCTCTTCTTTTTCTTCCAGTTGGAGCACTGCAAAGACATACATAAAGGGGATATATCAAGCCAAAAGGAAGAAATAATTACACTAAGTCCTATATAAAAGTTATGACAAAAAAATAACATATGGAAGGATTAAAGAGAAGACCAAGAAGGAAACCTACATTCTCCCTCACTGGAGCTATTATTAGATATCTTCTTGAATTAATAAAAAAACATTTTTGACATGCAATAAATCAAATAAATAACACAAGACAACCATCCTTGAATGGATATAAGGCAGGGCAGTCCGCAAATAACTCTTCTACATAAGGCCCAAGAGTTTGGTGGAAAAATGNAGAGAAGTTTCCATTTCGACATCAAAAAAACTCTCAAACTTCTAAATCACAATTTATTAAGATACACTCAATTGTCGCCAACAAATCTCCAGTGTCCTTCAATTGATAAGTCCTAAAAAATACTTTACCCAGATTTATTTCTTCATATTTTTTGCTTCATGACAAAACAAGATTATGAAGTAGCTCACCAATGAGATCATTGGAACACTTAGATTGGTTCATTCGATCATGGAAGAATGCTTAATGTGGTTCTTTTGTCCTTCATTGACTTGGAAAGGACATAAACACTCAAGGTATGTTGCCAATTTTCATGACAGAGTTTGTTTTTCTATAGCTAATAAGTACACCAGACATTTCTATTCTGTTCAAACTTAATCCATTACACCTGAAGCTTGAAAACTACAGCCCATTCCATTTTTTTTCTTTTACTCCACTTCTTTCTCCCCAAAATACAACTGAACTTTATCCATTTTTAATTTTGTAAATCTATGATATCTAAAAACCATAAGTTTAAAATCCATTCATTTACCCAATCACAGGAAATTTAAAAAAAAAAGGGTATTTCTTTCAGCTTAATTGTAATTTTCCGTCAAGGTAACAAAGTCTCCTACTTAGTCACGATGATGATCTTACGTGTTAATTAAATTAACCTTATGCCATTAGCTTACAAAAAAAATGCTAATATTGTTAGGTTTTAATTTATGCCATTCGTCAATAAAGTAATCGCCTTGCAAATGCATCATTAACAAAACATACATAACATGAAAGCCCCTTTTTTTTCCGGCGTGAGAAGGAAGGTACATTGCCAAACACGCAAAGAAACCCCTAATTTTCTTACCTACCAAACAACTTCTTAGACAAATATTTTATTCACAAAAATAGAAAATTTACGGACTTACCTCTCTTTGGGGTTTCCACTGGTAGCTACACTAGCAGCGACCACATTACTCGTCTTCACCACCGCATGCGGGGGTGGTGGTGATGGTTGATGATGCTGCTGAGACGGGGGAGGCTGATGGGTAGCCGGGCGGTACCCGTAATTCTCCGGGGGATGGACCACGATATTTGGTTGGACGGAAGGACTGGGGTGGAAATTAGGGGTGTGTTGAAGGGCGAAATGGTCCTTTTGCTGATTCTGGTGGGAGAGGATATTGGGGGCCTGGGTTTGGAGGAGGATGAAACTGTGGATCTGGTTACGAATGAAGTCTATTTTGTGGCTTAAATCGAAACCTATCTTCGACTCGAGCTGTCGAACGACATCGTTCAGGGAGGCGAAAGAGTTGTTGCTTGTGCAATCGCGGAGGAGAGAACCCAGCGCCTCCGCTATTTCCTGGTCGGACGACACAACTCCACCGCCGTCCGCCGGTGGTGCTCCCCCGCTCTCACTCATTCCTTATATATTACGAACTTGCCACTGCTTTACCGTTTAAAGAAATTCAATGCCTCTCTCTCTCTTCTTTCTACAATCGGTTTCACTCTCATTCTCTCTGCCCTCTTTATCTCTGTTACATAAGTCGAAATGACGGAAATGCACTTTAAGGGAATATGGTCACTTGGTTGTGACGCAGTGTATTGTAACAACCAATGAAAAATTGACACGTTGTGTAGATATCAGCTTATAAGAGTGCAATTTCCTTTATTGGGACCCGTCAATCGCAGTGATGCAGTGGACTGTAACGGACATGGAGAAATTGACACGTAATGGAAATATGACCCTGGGATATAATTGAAAAATGATTCAAGTACAGAAAAAATTTACCAGAATTTTGAACTTTCACTCACATGGTGTGGGACTCATGTATAAAATATTGAAAAAAAAAAAGTTTTCCCCCCAAGTGTTGTGTGTGTGCTGTAAGTACAGGGGTAATTCTAGGCCACGTGTGATGCAATAGACAGTTACTTCGATTGGGTCAAATTTATCCAGGCTTTTCCCATTTGTACCTAAGCAGCAACATAGATTGGCCATAATAGACTAAAACAGTGAATCCCACAAATATTACAAAAAATGGTGGATCCCCTATGCTTGTGTGTGGTCTGGTGTGTTTCTGTGGTGTACAATTTCTGTACACTCCAGCAGAATTCATTTATCCATTGGGTTAGGGTGTTAAGTAATGTTCTAAAATGTGTTGGATGGTACGAGACGTTAAAACAAAATTTTAAAATGTGTGAAACCCCCCATGTATGGGGTATACATGTGATAATGTATACAATTCATTTCTTCACGGGCAGAAGCATGCTTAAACACTGAAATGCGCACGCATTTGTGTTTCAATTAACCTAGCAAAATCCTTAATTTTTATAATTTGAAGCAAATTGAGTCCAACAATATCAAATTAGCCTAAAATTGCAAACTATCTATACCAAACACGAGCCTCATTTTTCTTCCATCTTCCTCTAGTTT